CCGTGGGTAGTACTGTGAAGTTTTGTCCAGCATCTGTGTTTCTTCAAATAGTATCCGATGTTCTCGGCTTTCCAAAGCCTCTTGGGCAACGGCAGATTTGTCGATATGTCCTAAACGACAATGGCTTTTATGTTCATTGTTGCCAAACACGTTGCCAAAGCGTGTTCGGCAACGGCAGATTTGTCGATATGTCCTAAACGACAATGGCTTTTATGTTCATTTGAACACATACCTAGCCTATACCCCACAATAGGTAAACACAGGCTCCACAATATATCCAACGACAATGGCTTAAGACTCACAGAAACTGGAGCAGCTAATAATATGCTAATAAAGTCGACCATGTTTCCGCATAAAGACATCCATAAGCAAACAATATTATAGACGTAAGAAGCCTGAGAGGAATAGACGGAGACAGATCATTACTTAGTCAGAGCAGAAGCCAAATCCAGAATATCTAGCCACAAATGCAATAAAACAACAATAGGAACAGGGACGAAATGCACAATACAGAAAAACAAAAAAACTATTGAGAACAACTAGAACAAACCTTGAACTCTGAAAGAGAATACAATGATATAGAACAGCTATGGGAAACGACTGCCGAAATAATAACCAAGACAGCGGATAAGATCTTTGGAAGGAGTGGGCAGAAGAAGGCAAAAACATGGTATGACGAGGAATGTCGGAAACAGCTGGAAAAAAGACAAACAGTAAGGAAGACCTGGATACAACTGCAAACAGACCAAAGTAAAAAGGAATATGACTGCCGAAAAGAAGCAAGAAAAATAATAAGCGCAAAGAAAAGAAACTATGAACAACAAAAATATGAAGCTATTGAGAGAGACCGGCCCAAACCAGGCTCCAGATAATTCTATAAAGCAATTTCCTCTGAGAAAAGAGGACATAGAATCAATTCCATCCATACACTGAGAGACAATCGAGGAGGTATGATAATCGACTGTAAAGAAGTAACTGAAGAATGGAAAGAGTATTTTAGAGACCTTCTAAACATCATACAGGAAGAACAGCACAAAGAAGAGATCTATATTACAGCGGACATGCCCGTCAAAAATTCCTCCTTTGAAGAAACCCAAAAGGCCTTAAATAAGCTGAAAAATCACAAAGCGCCGGGTACGGGCGAGATACCAGCAGAACTTTTGAAATATGGGGGAGAAGCACTACATCGCCAAATCCACCAGCTAATAACGCACATATGGTTAGAAGAAAGGATACCAGCACGATGGAAGGAAAACATAATAGTACCCATCCACAAAAAGGGGGACAAAACAAAATGCGCGAATTATAAAGGAATTTCACTCCTACACACGGCATATAACACCCTCTCAAACATCATTCTTAGTAGACTAATCCCTTATACTGAAAATGTCCTAGGCGAATATCAAGCCGGTTTTAGGGCAAAAAGATCAACTATTCACGCTGAGACAACTTCTAGAAAAGGGATGGGAGTATAACAGACCCATACACAATCTTTTCATAGATTTTCGACAGGCATATGATAGCGTAGAAAGAAGCCAAGTATGGAATGCCATGGCGGAGTTCTCAATACCAAAGAGACTCATTCGGATGACCAAAGTCTGTATGGAGGGTGGAATATCTAAAGTACGTGTAAATAATACACTGTCTGGCAGCTTTGAAATCAACAATGGACTCAGACAGGGTGATTCGTTATCTCCACTACTTTTTAACCTTGTATTAGAGAAAGCCATGAGGTCGGCCGAAATAAAAACAGAATTGCTATCGGTTCAAGGTCCCAAGGTGTTACTCGCATATGCAGATGACATAGATCTCGTTGGAGACTCCATCCTATCTACGAAAGACATCTTCAACAAGGTGGAAGGAGCAACAAGTGCAATAGGGCTGAAGATTAATGAAGAGAAGACGAAATATATGTGTATAAATAGAACAACACGAAGAGACAGAATAGGACAAAATTTGACGGTCAACACCTTCAATTTCGAAAGAGTACAACGTTTTAAGTATCTAGGGGCCGCAATCACAGCTGACAATGCAAATTGCTGTCTATTAGCACTGGATAAGCTCATAAAATCAAAAAACCTTACAAGAAGTTTAAAGATCAAAATCTACAAATCCATCGTCAGATCTGTAATAGCATACGGATGCGAAACGTGGAGCATGACCAAAACAAACGAAGAAAAACTCAAACGCTTTGAACGAAAAATACTTTAAAAAATTTTTGGACCTCACCATGACATCACCACAAACCAGTATAAGATTAGAACCAATATCGAATTAAAAGCACTCTACAATGACACCGATATTGTCCAAGAAATTAAATCACAGCAACTAAGATGGGCAGACCACGTGCACAGACTGCATAACGAGAGACTTGTAAAACTGGTATGGGAGGAGATTCCTACAGGCCAACTCGGACGTCCCAGAATGCGATGGAGAGATAACATCCAATCAGATCTCCGGAAAATGAACATTCCGTTTGACCCTAAGTTGATGGAAGACCGAACAAATTGGAAAAAAGGTACAGTCAGCCAAGACCCACCCAGGGTTGTAGCGCTACGTGATGATGATGACATTATCTAGCTACGGAAAGCTCGAAACTGAAGTAGAAGATCGAGTGAATAGAGCTAACAGAGCCGCAGGTTGCCTAAATGAAACAATATGGAGAAATAAAAATATCGAGAAAGAATCGAAAGGCCGAATTTACAAAACAGTCATCAGACCAATAATGACATACGCGGCAGAAACAACCTGACACAGAGAGGACAAAGAGGATCTTAGAAACAGCTGAGATGAAAAATTGATGGTAAGACACTATGGGACAGAGCTAGAAGTACAGATATGCAACATAGATGCAAGGTGGAGAACATCAAGGATTGGGTAAGAAATAGACAAACTAGAATGGAACGATCATATAAACCGAATGACAACAAATAGAGTACTAGAGGCACATTGAAAAACAGACAGATTCATGTCTATATAAAAAGAAGAAGTTTTGTCTCTCAGAATATGGGCGCCGTTTAGCAGCTTCAAATTGAAACGATGATGCCATTTTAAGTTATGTCATCAATGCCGCATTCTGTTCATAGATTTTTGTGTAATTCTCCAGCGAAGTTTCAAAATAGCGACCATTCAATATTCAGTGGTGGTAAACAAAAATATGAACTAACTACTAATAATTTGATAGTCTTCAGTTTTTATTGAAAACTTTCGAATACGTCAACTTATGTTTATAATTTCACTAGCTGACCCGAAGCTATTGAATTTAATTAAATTCAAATAAATTCCGTTCAATTCGATTCATTTCGATTACATTTGATTCGATTTCATCGATTCCATTAGATTTAATTCGATTCGATTTGAGTCGTTTTTTCATTTTATTAAGAATACTACTCCACTTGGTGTGTAGTCGCACGATTTTCGTCTCATCGCGTTTCTTTAGTTTTTATTTTTGCACGCCTCTGCGAGATCCATTTCACCGATCAATGCATTCCATCCGTAATCCGAAAGCTATGCTTCCACAAATAAAAAAGTAAAAAAAAATTTCCAAAAAATTTTTAAAAAGTGTTGGGGGTGGACTACCCACTTAGGGGTATGAAAAATAGATTACGACCGATTATCAGACTTTCGAATATACACATAAATTTCATAAAAATCATAAAAGTCGTTTCTGAGGTGTATAGCAACTAACTCTGTGACACTAATGTGGCCATTAAAAAATAGAGGTTGATGATAGAAGGGTAAAAATTAATGGTTGTGTGGAAAAAAATGTTTGGAGAAAATACAATTTCATAAAAATCGGTCCAGCAGTTTCGGAAGAGTATGGTAACTAACATCTGTCACAATAATATAAAGTCATCCACATTTTTTGTAAATATCTATATATAGCATGCGATACATCCTTACAAAATCGTCCAATACCAGCCGCACTGGTTAGCAGTTTCCAGATTTTTTGCGATTATGTCGCGCCATGTCAATATTGTCATTTAAGAAAAATGTTTAGGACGTCATATTTTTGACAGATTTCAATAAAGAAAAGACAAATGAATTCTATCAGAATGTGGGAAACTGAAAAAATATTGACGTAGTTAAGAGTTTTACATTAAAACTGAAATCCACCGTATTATTAGGATTAGTCAGTTATTTTTTAGATAGCTACTATTTTGAAACGGCGAGACTGAATCATACAAAATCTAGGACAATAGAACTTTCAGATGAAGTATAGTTCATCAAGTATTACGGTTCAGAAAAAAGTTCTTCTTGTAGTAGGACATGGTTCTGTTTATTCTATCATCCCTGCTCTTGAGATGTTGGTATTTGGTATCCCTCTTTCATACCACCTTTTCGGTCGTCTTCCTGGTGGTCCTTTTGTATTCTGTTTATGCGTTTTTTTCCATTTTCTTTACCTTTCTTCTTAGTTTTTGATATGGTGTATATATTTATTTAATGGTGTTATAGTTCGTGAATATTTTATCTTTGCTATTCCAAAGATTCCACGTTCCAGCTTCCGAGTCTTCCGAGCTCTGATTACCTCTTTTAAATATTGTTAGCCTGTCTAACAGCATTTATTTGTTTTAAGTGGCCTAGCCATTCTAGTCTACATTTCTTGATTACTTTAGTTATTCGAAAGTTATCGTACCTGTATACTTTTTTTTAGATCCACGAAAGGTAAAGATAAAAGAAAAATATTCTGTCTCTCTGCCATACAACTTTAATTTTTGTTTTCTTCTTCATCATATTCGAAGAAGTTTTTTGTCTTGTGTACTCTTATTTTTGTGTTATATTTCTATTTCTTTACATAACTGGCGAATAAGAATTACATATATTCGTCCACGTTTTCAAATTCTACAACAAATCCATTTTCCATCTCTAATTCAAGTGGATTTCAGGTGTTCGTTACCTTTTTATTGAAGGTTTCCACATACTTGAAATGTGGAAACCTTAAGAGTTTAAACCTAATTGAGCCAAATTTTGCTTATATAAAAAATACGCTTTTATTTCAGATAATAACGTGGAATTCACTGAACAGCAAATTGTATGGGCTAAAATGGTAGGCCATCCGCACTGGCCAGCAGTTATAATCAGTGAACTAGAAGTCGACGTCGCCATGCCGTCATCAAAATCAAACAAGCAATATTATCCAGTGGTGTTTCTAGGTGATTTCACACACGCTTGGGTAGAAAAAAGCCACATACACCCATATGAGAAAAACATCGAGAAATATTCCAAAAGTTCAAAGACTCAGTTCTTTGCACAAGCGTTAGGACAAGCTAATGAGCATTTTAGAAAGCAGAAGGAGGACAGTGAATATAGAATATCGTTTGAACGTTCTCCAAAAAGAAGAAGTGGAGAGACAACCAGGAGAAGTAAAAGTTCTCCTAAGAAGGTGGAACGTTCCCCTAAAAAGATTGACATTTCAGTACCACCTGTAGTAGGAGAAGCATTTTCGAAGAAAACAGCTGATAAGTTAAAGATTGGAGTTGTTGGTATAGGTAAGATAAAATATATGAATGTTTACGGTTATAGAAGTAAAAATCTATCTTGTTTTCTAGATATTTAATCAATCTTTTAATGTTTTTCCATCGCTTCAAAAGGAGCGGACCTATTAGGATTGTTTTTGGTTGAAACCTTCAGGGTAGTGAAACCTTCTTGTTAAAGTATGGTTCATCAAATTCCTGAATGTTATCGGCTAAAACTCATTTCGGCAAATTCTTTTCTTTGGGGTTTTCACAACCTCTAGTGTTAGCATTAATCAGAACAAACTTTTCTTCTTTCATTGTTTTGGTGATAAAACTAAATGGAGGGCATTCCGTACGTTTCTTTCGAAGCCTATAAAATGAACATAAAGATGTCACAGGAAAACACTATGGGACTGACAACGTAATGAAATCTCAGCGAAAGTTGAACATAGATGACTCGATACTAGACATAGAAAGAGAAGGGAACAGTTATATAAGTAGAATGGAAGAGTACATACTAGTAATAATAGCACGAGAAAAGTCACCAAACGGCCGAAGAAATCAGAGGTAGCAACAAAAGATAACCTGGACATCCAATAAGAAGGCATCCTAAAATAGAAAAGATTCAGGCCTATTAGAGAAATAGGAACAAGAAGATATTTCGCAAAGAACTGATACAATATACATTTTCTTAACATTCCAAGGAGCTTTCGGGTCGAAAGCGCGAATATATTTGTAATGTTTTCTAGCATACCATGGTTCATCGGCTGTATTGACGTCTAGAGGAAAATTCCGAAATATTCCAAGAAGGTCAGCAGTTGCACAAATTTTGCGTAAACCAGATAATAATAAGTTCTTATCCGCATAGGTTTTTGGCACTTTAGAGTGGAAGATCTTCACGTGTGATCTTGTAGTTATGACAGTCTCATTTTAACAGAAATTCCGATGCCAAAATACAACTTTGAGATAGAATTAAATATCATTAAGCAAATAGCAGTAAACAACGGATACAATGAACAAACAATTAATAAAATGTTAAATCAAAAACTACACAAGAAAGCCCTGAAATTAGTATTTCCACCACCAGAGGAAAAACCCAGTAATTTCTGCTCGATTACATATACAGGCGAAATATCAACAAAAATAGCCAAACACATAAAAAAGAAAGGAATAACATCAGCTTTCCGAACAAATAACAACCTAGGCAAATATATCAAAAACAACAAGAGCTAAAATAAAAAACACTTACACAGTGGTGTGTACAAACTTAAATGTGGCGACTGCCCAAAAACTTACATCGGTCAAACTGGTAGAAACTTTAATAAACGAATAGCAAAACATAAAAGGGCTTTCAATAATAGAAAAACAGATTCTACATACGCACTTCACCTTCTAGATCACAATCATTCTTTTAATGACGAGTTTAAAATTCTTCACATTCAAAATAAAGGCCTTAAGCTATCCTTGTTAGAATCTATGGAAATCAACAAATTAAAAAACAGATTTAATTCTGAATGACCAACTTGAGAAAAACAGTTCTCCCCTCCTCAACCTATTTCATTAGAGACTATAAAGTGTAAACGCATGCCAAAAAGAGATCACTTGAGAAAGGCAATCAGCCGAAACAGCTGTAGTGATAAGAGATTAAAATAAATTTTGTGGAAGTTTGAAAACAAAGTTTTCAGTGTTTTATTGTTACATAAAATGAATTTCCATCAAGTTACGGTCGAATCCATCAATCATTATTGTTTTTTTTTTATTGTGTGTATTAAATATTGCTTGTATTTGTTAACAGGTACGATAGGCACAGAAATAGTTAAAGTTTTGGTTGATGCTGGTTATACAGTAAATATGTGGAACAGGTCATTAGCAAAATGTAGACAGTTAGAAAAAGAATTGGGACAAGGAGAGCATATTTCCATATTGCTGTCTGCTAGGAACGTCCTCGTTAAATCTGATGTTGTATTTATCTGTATATCAGATAGACAAGCTATAAAACACATGGTAGAAAATGAGTTCGAAGCTTCTATGGATACTGAAAATTTGTTAAAAAGTAAAGGTAGGTTACAAATTATAATCCAAATTCAAATAGAGTGACGGAAAACGCATGTGCAATTTTTTATATCGTTGACAATAACATACTTAGATAAAAAAAATTCTTAGGCTTTAACTCAAATTATGAAAGAAATATGGTTGAGTCATTGATTATAAACCACCACCTAGATACCTCACTCTAACATAAAATACATAATAAAATTAGCAGTGATAAATTACATCTCACGTAAATTACTTTTTTGTAACTTTTCAAACAAAAATATTTCAAGCTAATACACAGAATTTATTTCCAGATTTAGTCCATTCACTCACGGTAAAATATAGCAAAACCTCCTAATTTTAAAGAATCGCTTGGATTGACATGAAATTTTGCTTACGCCTAGCTAGGATGTCAAAGAAAAAAAGATTTTGCCCTATGGCTCAGTATCACTCCTTGTCGGGATGTCACTAGCTTACGCCTAGCTAGGATGTCAAAGAAAAAAAGATTATTCTTTTGCCCTATGGCTCAGTATCACTCCTTGTCGGGAGTGAAAAAATATATGTTCAAGATAAGTTCGGAAGTGCTTAAAATCAGTAATTCTAAGCAACTTTTTGCTTAGTGTAAAAACTAGAGTTTTTTCACTAAGTCAATACTTTTCGAGTTATTGAAAAATAGGTTCTTATTTGTCAAATTCATTGTTGAATATTTCAACGTGAAATAATAAAAAAAATGAAGCACTTTTCGACGAAATCTCATTACAACTTTTTTTAAAGTGTTTAAAAAGGGTTTATTTTTGTTAAGTTTCTAGCATTAAAAGTAAGCAAGCTATGACCAAAATATTCAAAAAAGCAAAACCTACATTTTTTTAGTCTTTGTGATTTTTGGTTTCACTAATAAATTTTAAGTTATTTAAAAAAAAAATTTTTTTTTCAAAATTAAAAAAAAAATGTTAAAAAATAAGTCCTTTAAACAAATGAAACTTACAAATCATTATAATAATACAATAAAAACAATTACCAAGGTATTTATTAGAGAAATCAGGACACGCATTGAAATTGCAAGACAAGCAATTATAAAAATGAAAAAAATGTTTGTTAATCGCGATCTTAACTAGTTTTGATGGGAAATAAGCCACAATTTTACTAAAAAAATGATTTTATTAACGTTTCGACTCTCAAATTGGGTGTTGTTGTCAAAATTATTAATTAATTAAACAAAAATGTTGCTTAGTAAAAAAATTCTTCCAATAATTTATTTAATCGGACTTATTTATATTGGCAATTCAGACATAAAAAGTAAAAGACTTTAAAATGATGTTGCCAATATTTATGAGTTGCGTTCCTGGGACTATATTTATATTCTACCGCCAGAATTTTACTGTCACCATTGCATGTGGTTGTCTTTTAAAGACATATTACATGTTATGATTTTTTTGTGAAGGATATTCTTGAGTTGGGGTTGATTTCATGTAATCGAATTAACTATCTTTCAATCAAGTCGTCCCAGGAACGCAACTCAAATATTGGCAATATCATTTTAAAGTTTTCTACTTGAAAATGTATAATAAATGAGTCAGATTAAATAAATTAGAAGAATTTTTTTACTAAACATTTTTGTTTAATTCAATAATAATTTTTGTATTTTGACAACGACACCCGATTTGGGCGTCGAAATGTTGTCGAAAATTGTAGCTTAGTTCCTATCAAAACTAGTTAATTGCAATAACGTCACAAGAAAATAGCTTCAGAACAAAATCTAGATCTTCCTCTGGAGCTGAGGATAAGTGCCTTAAGATGCTACGTGTTCTCGACTTTCTTGCATGGAATGGAAAGCTAGACACTAAAAGTAGACAATATAAAGAAGTTGCAAGCATTATTTGAGATGTGGTGCTATAGAGGGATTTTGAAAAGACCTGGATCTAACAAGTTACAAATACAAAAGGTTACAATGTTACAAAAGGATTGCGAGGTGATAAAGAACATCAACACAAGAAAGCTGGAATATTTAGGTTACATTACCGAAGGTGCGAAATATGAGATATTGGGCTTATAATGCAAGGTAAAATTAAGGGTAAAAGATCTATAGGTAGAAAAAGAATTTCCTGGCTGTTAAACTTAAGAGAGTGGTATAGTTGCAGCTCAATACGGATAGCTGTGGTGATGGCCAACCTTCGATAGGAGAAGGAACTTCGACAAAAATAGGATATAAATTTTGTTCTGATAGTAACATTGTACTACAAAAAATTGTAAAATAAGAAATTGTATAGAGGTGAACTAAAATCAATATGATCTACTGTTCGATCGCATACTTTTTACATTTAAAAATTTTCTGAGGACTAGCTGGAATTATGTCATCGAGGTTTTAAAAACAAGTAGTGATGAGTACCAAATGCAATCGATTTTGACTTTGAGAAAATACCACAAATTACCAACGTTAAAAATGCATAATGTAAGTACGTATCTTGATAAAATGACAGGAAATTTCCAACATGTAAATAGTTGAGGGCCATCTGTCTAGGAACAATAGGTAAAAGCTGAAAAACAGACAGAATTAGAAAGTAACAAACAAAAGATGTAGGTAGAAAAAAAGAGGTTTAATAAGTGCTGCCAAAAAAAAAACGGTAGACCCTATAAAGTGAATGAAATGGACACTGATGAATTGTCTACTTTAAGGATATTTCAACAATTTATAGGTAGTATGGAATAATATACAAATTCTTAAAGTAGAAAAGTGTTTTCCTACAAAAGTTTTTTACAAAACTAACTTTGACGATACAACCTATAAAACTATTGACCTTTCTACTCGTCGTTTTTCTGATAATAATAATGTTTTGGAGCAATATAACTTAAAACCAGCCTACGAAAAGCCTCCTACTGTAGGAGAGAAAACAAAAGAGCATTTACTGGAATTATACAAGAAAAATTTTATTGCAAAAGTACACCAATCATTTTATTTCAATTTGTTGAGTTAATTTCTTGTAAGTGATTTATAATATACAATTATATAATTATTAAATTTATCTAATAAAGTATCTACCATTTATAACTTTGTCTGGTTTTTCATTGTTAATGTGTATAATCGTAGAGCAGTTATGGATATTGAATAATTTAAAAATGTAATGCAATACCGCCATATCTTACAAATATTTATAACGGTTAAAGATTTCTTGTTTTTAAAAAAACATATCCATTCGTATGCTATTGAATTACTAATATTCTAATATGCAGTTACTTCTCTTAAAATGCTCAGTTGTAGCGGTATTGAATTGGATGTGACAGAGACGGAATGAGAAATCTCGATACGGTTTTCTAGTAACACCATGTCGTTGATACGTCTTTCAGTTACCACGAGGTGAGCTATCTACTGGGTGGTTTATAATCAATGGTTGAGTTTACCGAAAGTACAAGCTGAATATAGCCGCAAATGTCAATTATGAAATAAAATGTTTCGGTTTGGCAGTGTTGAAATATTTTTATAATGCATATGGGTCAATTTCAAAAAAAGATGAAAACCTACAATTTCATGCCTGTAATTAGTTTTTTTTTAATGTTTATGCTTATATTTATTTTTAAACTATGTATTTATCATTAATCTAAATGTACAAACTACAATTTTCAAAAAAAATATGACCATAAATTTTTTAGAAAAAATAAAGTGAAAAAAAAACATTACCATGTCCAGGTCGTGTGATAGATTTGAGTAACAGCTGATACAGCATGATCAAAAGTTTTATTTTAATAAACAATTAGTATAATTCAATATCTTTATACATAGAACAACCTTTTTTGATATTTAACATCTTTCAAACTTTTGAACTTCTCATTTTATATTTAGTTTTAAATTGTAACCAAGAGATATGCTCATTACCGTGTCACCAACATTTTATTATAATCTGGCAATATCTAAAAGTATTTGGTTAACCTTCATCGGGTGGAACTATTCCCCACCAACACTTATGAACACAGAAAAGAAAATTCTCGAAGCAGTTGCTAATTAGATGCGAAATAGGTGAGTCGTTCGACTATTTGATGAAGTGTAACCGCTTTGACGACATTACCGTGACCCTCAGATATTTTTGTGCTGTAGCAAACGAAGTTTTGTAAATACCTTGGATTATTTGGAGCAATTTTACTGCAAGGTAGGATTAATTTGACTTTTATATTATTGTACAATACTTAAACAATATTTGGTATTTTGCTCATTACCAAGTCAGAAATGCTTGACATTACCATGTCTTTTAAATGACACGGTAATGTTGTTATGACACGGTAATGTTTAAGGTAGCCATTATAACGACTAAAATAGACATTTTATCTATTTCAGATGGCCAAGCAAACCGCCAAACAATCTAGGGAAGATATGTTGAGTAAGAAAAAAGAAAGAGAACGTGCAAGAAGACAGAAAGTTAAGAACAATCCGGAAGAATATGAAAAGCAAAGACAGAAAGAAAAGGAGCGTTATCAGAAAAGGAAAAGCGAAGGCAAAATTAAAATTATTTGCGATTTAAGTGACAGAGATAAAAGAAAAACCACGAAAAACATGGATACATCATAATAGAACATACAGGGAAAAAAAAAAGAAAGTTAACTGATATTGAGAACGAAGCTCTTTGCAATACTCCTACACCATCAGTGGTTGACATAAATGAAGACCAAATTGTAGAGAATGCCTTGTCACAAACTGAAATTAATTTGAAAAGAAAAATATCCTGTCTAAAGATGAGGGCACACCGGGAAAGACTTCGACAAAAAAAAAAGAAATAGAAAGTCTTAAAAATGAGAATAGGAAGCTAAGATCCAGGGCATTGAAAGAAAAAATTGCAGCACAATATAGAAGTCCAAATGACAAAACTAATACGGAAGAATGTCCTTCGCCAGATTTGACTCCCAATACAAAAATCAACGTTACTCTTGAAAAGGTTGGAGTTTTAGTTCCCAACAGTATCAAAAAGGAGTTTTTGGAGAGTGTCTAAAGCAGCAGTTAAATGCAAATTTCAAGAGTATTAAAGGTCATCGTTCAAAACAAGTATTTGCTGAAGTAGTAGGAGGAGGCATTCTTAAAAAATATGGAGTAACACGTAAGCTTAATATGTCGCAATATCTAAGCACGTCATTGCCAAGTCACAAAAAAAAAGAGAGCTAATGTAAAGATAAATTCTGTGAAAAGAGATATTATACAATTTTTCGAAAATGATGATAACAGTCGTCTGTGTGCGGGAAAGAAAGAGTGTATTACATACAAAAAAGTTAAAAAGCAAAAACGCTATATGAATTACTCACTTAAGTCTTTGCATCAGAAATATTTAAAAGAAAAAAAATGTAAAATATCTTACACTACATTTTGACGTCTTAGACCCTTTTGGGTAATGGCATTAAGACTTGGCTCCCGGGACACTTGCTTATGCATAACGCATGAAAATTTTCGTTTGATCGTTTCCAGATTACACTTTGAAAAAATTATAAATTTGAAAATTCCAGAGGAAGTTATTAGAGCTGTTACGTGTACCCCTTATAATGAAGAATGTTTCAAGTCGACAGTGTAATACTTGCAAGAAAATTCAAGTTCCAGTGAATGAATTTAATGCCAACAGCCAATGTCAATATCAGAAGTGGTGTACTAAAAAAGAATCCCGAGTTAGTATTAAGACTGGTAAGACGATTATTGTGCAGATAACTTTGAAAGAAGATATTACAATATCTCACTACAATCTTGTCCAGGAGGTGTTCTTGCTTCTACCAAAATACATGCTACACGTCAGAAATATCTACCATCAGCACAGAACATTATCAATAATCAAAAAGTCACTTAATGAGTCCGAATTGCTTCTTCATATTGACTTTTCGGAAAACTATTCATGCAAATATTCCTCTGAAGCACAGTCGGTTCATTTTGGCGCATCAAGGCAGCAAATTACATTGCATACAGGTGTTGCTTACAGCAAGGATCAGGTAAGCTCATTTTGCACTATATCTCCGAGTCTTAGGCATGATGCCAAAGCAATTGCTGCTCACTTGATTCCGATTTTAGAACGTTTTTCTACGCCTTTGATAAATACCATATATTTTCTTTCGGATAGCCCTAGTACACAATACCGCAACAGGACGATGTTTAATATCATTGGGTATTATTTGCCAACGAAATTTAGAAATATAAACCACATTTCTTGGTCATACAGTGAGGCTGGACATGGCAAAGGTGCCCCGGACGGAATTGGGGCAACATTAAAACGTACAGCGGACCGATTGGTAGCGGAAAATACAGACATACCCTGTTACGAAAAATTTGTGAACGTAGTTAAGAAAAATGTATCTAACATACATATTAATACAGTGAGCGATTTGGATATACAAACCGTAGATAACGAAATGACTGAAAGTTTTGGCACGTTTAAAGGTACAATGCTTGTGCATAATGTAACATGGTGCAGATTAAAGGAAGAACTACACTTTAACACATTGACTTGTTTATCTTGCGATATTGGCAAATCTTGCACCCATTACGACCTTGGACACATAAAATTACAAATTGATCCATTGGAGCATCAAGATATTGAAGAAATTAATGAAGCAACCAATACTGAAATTACCGAGAGTCCCATACCAGACGATAAACTTTTAAGCGTCACTCATAAACCTGATCCTGATATTCCTGAAGAGGACAAAGATAATCAATCACACATTAAACCTAATGAATGGGTGGCTGTTCTGTTTAATGATTTCTGGTATCCGGGAGTAGTTTTATCTCTGAAGCGTAAGTGTTTGGAAATTCAATTTATGGACAGAAAAGATGGGGATTTTTTTTGGCCAAAAAAGCGTGACATCCAATTTATTTCATGTACTGAAATTTTGTGTAAACTGTCCAAGCCACCTGTGCAACGCTCTACCGGACTTTTTGTTGTTCCGGAGTCTAAAATTATAGACGAATTGGTGTAATTTTATTTTGCATATTTAGTGTGTTTTATATGCAATTTTTATTTTTAAGTATTTGATTGAATTATAATTTTTGGTTTTTTGTATAAATAAACAGCACACTTGTTTTGATATGTTTGTAGTTTTTGTGAGTTAGTGAAAAAAATACTTACTGCTAATAATATTGAAAAAAAAATCAGCTCTTAAGGGCAAAAAATCGCACATTTCCAAATTTTATTAGGGTTGTTCCAACTCGATACAAATCCGTTCTTGAATCGTTGCGCGCATGCGCAATAGCGAATAATTATGCGCAGTAACACATTTTTCGTTACTGCGTGGTTCACGAACCGTTCAAAAACGGTTTTGTATCGAGTTGGAACAAACCTTATATCTTTGGACATTACCATGACAACAATTTAACATTGCCATGTCATCTGTACATTACCGTGTTTGACAAATCTCGTTACCGTGTCATTTTTTAATTTTTTTTTTGAAAAATATGAGTGGTACATAATTTTTTTTAAATAATTTTAATATAATTTGTATATTTGCACCAAAATAAATTATAAAAGTAATTTATTTGTAAACTTTCCAATGTAATACTCAGTTTTCGTTATTTTTTGAGAATGACCCATATGTTGTATGGTTCAAATATAAAGAGAAAAAGCTTTTAAAAAATACATTTTGATTATACCATTTTATGAAGACTGCAATTTTTATTTTATATAAAACAATAACAAGTAAATATTTGTCTCTTCCGAGATTAATTGCAAACATCTGTTGCAATCTGGCAATTGCTGATTTCACGAATGCGAAATTTATCACCTAATCTATCAAAGGGTAATTGCAAAAAAAATAATTCTAATAATGCACTGTAATTAATCTCCAAAGAAACAAATATTTACTCATTTTTGTTTTATATAAATCGAATGTAACACCAGAAATGGAACAATGTATTATTCCGGTAACAACTTCAAACAGAGGCAGGGAGACGAAATGTGGGAAGACGAAGAATATTATGGCTTAAGAACTAGAGGGAATGGATTGAATGCAGAACTTTTTGAGCGGCGCTCAACGGAGTCCGCATAGCCATCTTGATTTCCAACCTTTGATAGAATACGAAACTGTAAGAATGTATAGTTCTAAATGCTTTATGCGCCTACTGGTACCGTCAGATCAATTTATAAAATCGCATCTCCAGTTCGTGCACGAGTATGTATGACGTCTATAGCGATTTTTTAACAACGTGCTAATATATAAATACGTTACTTTTATAAGGCAATATAATATCTATTCTAGAAAAGTTTCACCGCTCTATTTGAATTTAACTGTGTTTCTCTAGCAGTTAGAAACTTAACTCGTGGAATTATATCCATAAAATAAGCTGTGTTTTAAATTAGTATTTTTGAAATTCTTAGTCATCATGCTAGGCGAGCGGTTTACCCCTAAAAAGACGTTTAGAAACGGAATATACCGATTAAAAAGTTAATAAGTAAAGTTTATCCATATATTCTTTTTAACATACAGAACGGCTGCAGAAAAAATATTGTACCTAACACGACCCAAAAGTAATTTTACGAGACTCACATGATTCCAGGATAAAATATCACTTTCGGAACTTGTTACGTAAATTACTATTAGACGTAAATACAAGAAAATACAGAAATTTAGAAACAAAATCAATAATTAAAGGATTTTTCAACAAAAAATTTGATATAACTCAAAAAGTATTTTTTGAATAAATACCAAGATAGAAAAAGAATTTATTTCGATGAAATACACACCTAAAAAAAATTTTACTCAAAGCGATTCAGAAAATTGTTTTTTATGTCATTTGTCCATTCACAGGGAAAAATTAAAAAAATATACATTTGAACTTGAAAAAATATATATAGAATCGAATAAAAAAGGTTAGTGCGTTAGAACAAATATTTAAAATTTTAGGTATTTTAATGATGACAAGCATTGACGCCAATGAATCAAAGCAAATAAACGATTCCATTACGAAAAAAGGAGGAAAATATTTGGAACTAGCTTTTCAGAGTGGCAGTCCAGGGTCTTCCAAAGAATCACGTTTTTTGTTGGCGGCAGGAGATGAAGCTTTATTCCACCATTGCCATCCTTATTTTAAAGCCATAAATTGCACTCCTTTATATTTTGGAAACACAATTGGGTAAAGTTATTGTACAATCTGGTTAAATTTTATCTAAAATATGTATTTTTTATTACAGGAACGCTATTAGAATCAATCTAGCTATGCAGATGGTCAAAGGTGTGAGTATAGCGGCTCTTAGCGAGGCATTTAACTTGGTGGAACGATGTGGAATAGAAAGGGGAAAATTGATAGAAATATTCAACATGTCAGATATCGCAAGCCCATATTTAAAAAACAAATCAGACTATATCGACCAAAATAGTTTTAATTCTGTACAACAACCTCTGAAGCATATGCAGAACGATTTAAAGATGGTCTTGGACATGGCTGATTCCGTGGATCATGCTCTACCATTGGCAAATACTGCCAACGAGATATACAAAGAATGTATTCGGGAAAATTTTGCTGACTACGATGTATCTGCTGTTTATTTAAAAAATAAAAGAAAGTATTTTTAGTGTTTTATTTAATTTTTTATTTTAAGAAGCGTAGGCTATATATATATATATATATAGCAAAAAATACGACCGTTGATTAAATTTAAAATATATTCAATGGTTGAATAGCAGAGGTTTTATAGAGAGGTTATATATATATATATATATATATATATATATATATATATATATATATATATATATATCTAAAATAATAGCTGGTCTGGTAGATGAAAAAGGGGGTTGAGGGTAATTGGGTATACAGCTGATTGAAAGCCAAGTGTACTCTCTTCAACAGTTCATTATATTTCGCCAATTTTCATTGACATCATCAGATGAGAGCTACAATTATTTAAAATATGGTAAAATACAATTAAGTAATTATTGGTTGTTTATATCTTACTTGATTGAGGTTAACGGCAGTGTGATTTATTTTAATAACATTAAGTTGTGGTTTGTGGGTACAGTGTGGATTGTAGCTATCTTCGACATGTAACATTTAGTTGTATAATTTACCTTCACAATTAAAATATAAGAAACAAACCCAATTCAAATTAAAAACAAAACGAGACACAAGAACGTTTAGTTTGGTGACTGTCATTAAGGTTAAGTACCAGAAATACCAAATATCGAATGTTACTGATTGACTTATGCCAGAAGATAATTAGGTCCATGGTGTGGATTATTTGAGTTTTAGTGGAAGAAATAGAATAGAAATAGGAGCGATCATATAAGCCAAATGACAACAAATAGAGTAGTAAAGACGGCAAGAGACGGTTCCATAATAGAAAGACGATCGGTAGGAAACCCATGAAAACGATGGAACGACAACTTACTGGAGGTACATTTAAAAACAGACAGAGTAGTGTCTACATAAAAAGAAAAAGAAGAAACCCCTTAGGTCCAAAACGACAAATGCCGATATAGATGTCAAGCTCAAGAAACCTTCCAACATCTTACCGTGGGCATCTAAACATTCCGTATATGTATTCGGCACCTAGGACTTTTCTATTGGTTCTTTGCGGCACGCGGCAATGTTTCAACCAATAGGCGGCGAGGTGCCAGACACGTATACGGAATGTTACTCTGGTGCCAAATTCATATACGGAATGTTAAAAATATTCATAAACCAAAATAGACAACTTTTTATTAAAATGAGTTAAAAGGAAACTGATTCTAAAATATTTGTTAATGTGTGATTAAGGAAAATTAAAAGAATGCAATAAGAAATAAAACAAAATATATTTAAATAAATTTAAAAAAAATTTCAAATGTTTAAAATGTAATATTTATGCGTGATTCAACGCCCTTAGCCATGTCTTTGATTTGCCTGCGAAATGCATATACGGAATGTTAAAAATATTCGTAAACTAAAATAGACGACTTTTTATTAAAATGAGTTAAAACGAGACTGATTCTAAAATATTTGTTAATGTATGATTAAGGAAAAGTAAAAGAATGCGATAAGAAATAAAACAAAATATATTTAAATAAATTAAAAAAAAATTCAAATGTTTAATATGTAATATTTATGCGTAATTCAACGCCCTTCGCCATGTTTAGTTGCATTTGTTTGATTTGCTGCGATATTGAACGAAAGATTGTGACTCCTTTTTAATCTTTTTTTAGGAGGTTCATCTTTAGGTGGTCTTCCAAATGGTAATCTTTTTGACCCTCTAGTCGAACTTTTTCGCCAAAAGCTAATTTAGCTACGTCGTACCGATCTTCAGGAGTAGTAGCTGGAACGTTGCAAAAAGATATATTAAAAAAATGTGCAATCGCAGCTTGATGCTTGCAAAAGGCACCCAATCTTCCAATTTCGCAACTGCAAAATCCTGTTGCTATATCGACTTCGGAAAGCACACTATTATTTTGCTCATTAGGAACTTTGTATAAATTTTTAGATAATTTACTTATATCTTTCTGTTGTAAATATTTAATTTCTCCTAAAAAAATATTAAAAAGGAGTCACAATCTTTCGTCCAATATCGCAGCAAATCAAACAAATGCAACTAAACATGACGAAGGGCGTTGAATTACGCATAAATATTACATTTTAAACAATTGAATTTTTTTTAAATTTATTTAAATATATTTTGTTTTATTTCTTATTGCATTCTTTTACTTTTCCTTAATCATACATTAACAAATATTTTAGAATCAGTCTCGTTTTAACTCATTTTAATAAAAAGTCGTCTATTTTAGTTTACGAATATTTTTAACATTCCGTATATGCATTTCGCAGGCAAATCAAAGACATGGCCAAGGGCGTTGAATCACGCATAAATATTACATTTTAAACATTTGAATTTTTTTTTTAATTTATTTAAATATATTTTGTTTTATTTCTTATTGCATTCTTTTAATTTTCCTTAATCACACATTAACAAATATTTTAGAATCAGTTTCCTTTTAACTCATTTTAATAAAAAGTTGTCTATTTTGGTTTATGAATATTTTTAACATTCCGTATATGAATTTGGCACCAGAGTAACATTCCGTATACGTGTCTGGCACCTCGCCGCCTATTGGTTGAAACATTGCCGCGTGCCGCAAAGAACCAATAGAAAAGTCCTAGGTGCCGAATACATATACGGAATGTTTAGATGCTTACCGTGGGCTGGCAGGCATTTGCTGCAACTGAATATGAGGAAAGGCATGACTCAGTAGGGAAGATCCTTCATCAAGAGATGGCTTTCAAATTGGGACTGGTCCAAACAAACCATCTCTCATATTACCAATACATTCCTGAGATTATGCTTGAGAATGACAACTACAGACTATACTGGGATCGCACTGTGCTCACAGGCCAAACAGTAGATCATAATAGACCAGATCTCATCACTAGTTGATAAACTAACGAGACAAACAACACTAATCGATGTGGCGATACCTAACAACAAGAATCTGCGTGTTAAATACAACGAAAAGATCGCCAAGTACAGAGATCTCGAAATACAAATGAGAGTATGGAAAGTAGGTAGACGATACCTATTATTGTTTCTACCACTGGAGTGATTCCAAAGAACCTCCTAGTAAACATAAAAAAGCTTGCTCTAAATGAATATCTATAAAAGATCATGCAAAAAGCTGTGCTATTTTCGACGTCTAGAAGAGTACGAAAATATTTGGGAGGTACGCCGACGTATCAAGTCACCTAGGGCGGGATAACACGGAAAGAGCCCTACCTGAGCTCCATTCTTTTGATGCCGTAGGTATGTGGGATGAGTGAATTTTTCTCTTGAGGTAGTGTGAGCCGTATGGCTAAATCTGGATTGGAGTATTGGAATACTTTGCACCATACACAAAAAAGGAGATATTTTGAATGCTCTATCCACAGAGGAATTAAGCTTCTAAATGCAGGGTATCAAATATTTTCCACGGTACTATATTACCGTATGGCACCATATGCAGAACGGATATTAGGAAAATACCAGGCTGGTTTCAGAGGTGGTAAGTCTACAATTCATCAGATTGCAACACTGAAACAAAGTTTGGAAAAAACACTTTGGTGTGGTATTGATACTCGTTACATATTTATAGAATACAAGGCAGCCTACGACTCTGTGAATGGAAGAGAAATATTCAAAGCAGTGAAAGAGCTAGGAATCCCAATTGTTGGTCAATTTAACAAAACTAACCCTTGAAAAAGTTTCATGTAGAGTAAGGATGCCGAGGGAACTGTCTGAACCTTCTAAAACAAATAATGGGCTGCGTCAGGGAGACCCTCTCTTCTATATACTGTTCAATCTGGCTCTGGAAAAAGTAATACGTATGTCACAAATCACAACCACTGGTTTAATATATAATAAATCAGTGCAAATCCTGCTGTTCCAGAAATGAACATATTGTTTTTAAAATATAAAATAAAAATGTAATTCTTTGACTTTTCTTAGTGTATAATAACTAGAATACACACTACTGTGAATAGAATAAGATGATAGCATCTCTAGAAGATAGGCACATTTAGAAGAAGAAGAAGTAAATCTTGGTCTATGCTGATGATATCAATATTATTTGGAGTTCGGATAACGGAAAACGCTGTACGAGAGGCATATGTAGCTATAAAAAATCAGCTACAAAAATGGGTTTAATAAAAAACATCAACAAAAAGAAGTTTATGAAAATAAACACGCAACTACAAATCCTACGACTACTCATTATAGAAAACGACGTCATCGAAGCAATGAACGAATTTGTATACCTTGGAGCACGCCTTAACACTGAAAATAATACTACCGCAGAGATAATCCGCAATATTTTCATGGCCAACAGCTGCTATTTTGGGCTCAATCTCCTCCTTATATCCACAATTATATCGAACAATACAAAAATAAAACTCTACAAAACAATAATACGCCCAGTCCTAATATATGGTTCAGAGACCTGGACTCTAACAAAAAATAATGAAAACATGTTACGATATTTCAAAAGAAAAGTATTAAGGCGAATCTATGCAGCAGTGAATGACAATGGAGTGTGGACAAGACGATACAACTTCGAACTTGATAGAATATACCAGGAACCTGATATCGAAATATATTAAGATACGACGTCTGAGGTGAATAGGACATGTAATACGGATGGAACAAGATGACCCAGCTAGAAAAACGCTCCTTGATAGACTCATATTGGTCAGAGAAGAAGAGGAAGGCGCAGAACAAGGTTCCTTCGATGAAGACATGAGAAATATGGGAATACGTGCTTGGCAGAGAAAGGCAATGCATAGGGACTACTGGAGAGAAATTCTTGAGAAGGCTAGGACCCACGCAGGGTTGTAAAGCCAGAATAATAATGATGATCGTTTGACCTATACATAGTAACTTAGCCATATGTTTTAGTTATCTTATCTGTTGCTGTCTTAGTTGTACTGATGCTGGTATAATGGTATAAAATCTAAGTTATTGTCGTCGTGCAATGGTTTTTGTTGCTTTGTTAGACGACCATCAATGTAAACGCTATGAACTGCAACAGAAGTGTCGACAAAAGCTTTTCCTTTGTTGTAATATACAACCATCGCTGGTTTATGAACTTCTTGTCCTCTGCGATTAACTGTAACCATAGAGTCATCATGTCTGGTACTGAGCATAACAACATCTCTTTTATCTTTCTATTTGCAGGGAACTGTTTTATTTTCGTTTAGTTGGGCCGCTACTTCACCCTTTCTCAATTTAGCTTTTATCACATCTGGGGGATTATATTTTCTGTTTGTCCTTAGGGTTCCTACTAAATGTGTTTGTCGTTGAATTAGACTAATAGACAGCAAAACGCTAGTGTACCAGTTATCGGTATATACAGTTCTACCTGCATCCAAAAGTCCCACCATCAGTGTTGTGACAATTTTTTTAGCAACTGATATTTGTCCGCTCTTTTTTTGCCGGTGTAGACTTTAAACGATTATGTATAGCCTCCAGCAATACAGAGTTTAAAAACCTTTATCCCATACTTAGGTCTCTTATTAATTCAGGCAGCAAACAGATGTATGTATAGCCTCCACAACACTATTAAATCCAAGAGCCTAACACGAACATCAAAAATCAGGATATATAAAACAGTAATTAGACCGGTGCTCATGTATGGGTGTGAGACGTGGACGCTGACAAAAACAATGGAAAGTAAACTCAGATGCTTTGAGAGAAAAATCCTCAGAAAGATCTTCGGTCCCTATCACGATCCGAATACTAACCAATACCGAATGAGGACAAATGCCGAGGTCAAACAAATGTATAGTGCTAGCGACGTAGTCCAAGAGATTAAATCCCAACGTCTAAGATGGGCTGGCCATGTTCATAGGCTCCCTAATAACCGCCTTACCAAGTTAATCTGGGAAGAAGTCCCGACAGGGAGAAGGCCCTTAGGACGCCCACGAATGCGATGGAGAGATAATATATGGTCAGATTTGAGAACAATGGGGCTACCCACTGACTTAAACATCATGGACGACCGTTCCAGATGGAAGCAGGTTGTGCAGTCAGCCAAGACCCACCCCGGGTTGTAGGGCTACCAGAAGATGGAGAAGAAGATGTCTCTTATTGGGTATATACTGTCGGAAATAAATACGTCCTTGAAATGGTACGTTGCTTTCGTCTATACAAACTTCTTCGGGAATATACGATTCTTTGAATTTCTTTTCTAAACATCGAAAGTAACATCTCAAATCTATTGCGGCTCATTATTTTTGGAATTCCATTTTCATAAATTCTTTTTTTGCTCCAGTAATCCCTCAATTTTGGCAAATGCATAAGTCCGATCCACAAGATAATGCCCAAAAACTTGCGCATCTCTGTACGATCAGTGTCAACCCATTTACTAAGTCTTGGAGTTCCGCTTCCTGCTTGGGCAGCTTCATTCTCACTTGAATAGGAACTTCCTTCATCATATGAGTAATTTCGATCTGCAATGGAGTCATCCTCGGAATAGTCTGGTGCTTAAGAAATAATGAAATGTGTGACCACTGGTGGACATTTGGCCCCACAATGTAAAATTACAACTTGGGACCGCGTGACCACAGGTGGGCACTAAAAAAATCACAAAAAACAAAGCTGAAAAAAAGTGTTGTTTAAAATAAAATAATAAACATTGAAAAAGCAGGTTTCTAGAAAAGAAAACATTTTAAATTTTTGGTCCCAGGGAGTGAACAACCAATTACAGCGTGGCGCTAAATGTGTTAAGTAAGCACGAGCTAAAAATTCAAAAAATCGACTTAGACACGATACATTTACACACGTGTAAGTGTAGTGTATTACTAATCGTAAAGCTTTATGTAATTCAACCATTAACCAAATGTTATCAGAGTCTTTCGGTAAGTTAACCGCACTATAAAGGCTAGATTATCTACCAGAAGCGGGTGTACTTCACGGTTTCTGCATTAATTATAACATTCAGAATTTTAGTCATAATTTTATTTACAAACAAATTTTAAAAAACATTAAAATTCATTTAATTTTTTCGATGTGGTAGTAATCTACCAAAAATCGTTGGTCTTGATTTAGGAACTGTTAAAGAAAAAATATAGATGGCGGTAAAAAACGTAAACAAAAACCTACCACTCAGCCTTAAAAATCGCTAATAGATGGCACATGGTGTTAAAAGTGTCAACATTTCCTGAACTCAAAAGCAAGTGGAAGGGATTGACTGAAGATTTAGGAATATTAGGATTTTAGTTTTAGATTATTGAAAGAAAGTATGGATAGAGACGGAAATGTAGTATTTAAAGTAGTATTAAATTTTTTATACAAGTTGTTGAACACAGTCACTTAAATCGAGTCCTAATTTAAAACATAAGTACAAAAATATATGCTGTAAGTGTAAAAGTTAATCGATTGGTGTATGTAGTGAAGTATTTAGTGCAAATGTGACTATTTTGTGTCAAAAAGAAGGGCAGATTGTACGGTAACTGTAAACATAGACATTCCCTTTACTTCATAAAATCGAAGCGGGCAAATGAAAAAACTGTGATTGTTTAAATTTATAAAACAATGGATAGTACAATGGAACGCGAATCAGGAGCATTAGGAGGACTTTTTCAACAAATTATTCAAGATATGAAGGTAAACAGTTTTGATTATACCATCTTCAAGTGTAAATAAACAATATTGTTTATTCCAACTGTTTCCTATCTAGTTTCTTTTATATTGAATTAATGATCCAAAGCAATGTTTAGTTCTAGTTGGTTCTAGTATACAAATTTTAAAGAGAATATCCAATATAAACAGTTTGGTCTCTCCGTTCAGACAAAATATCTTATTCTTGTGTATACGGAAGTATAGTCTAAATATAGGACTGGATATTTATTTTTTTTCTTAATTTACACAAACTGTTTTGTATCATAAATGGATATTAGGTTTAGTAAATGTTATTCAATACAAACTTAAAACTTCTAATTGAATCTAAGTACTTATGATCATGATTGGCATATTTAAAAACCACTTCAGTGCAATCTACATTTTTTAAAAGCTATTAAATCATAGACCTTTCTAAATTGATTATACAGTATAAAATGCACAGTGAGATGCATTAAAATAATTTTTCTATTAGGTCATGTAATTAAGTTATTTAAAATTCTTAAATTGATTTGTTCCATTTTTACTTATTTTTCTAATTTGATCTTTACATTTTCTTGTATACTTCTTAATTTTTCAGGTTTTAATCTCCTTATAATATGTCCTTATTAGCTCAATAATTGTTGTTTTTTGTTAGTTGTACCTATTTTTTTCTATGTTTAAGTATGTATCTTTGTTTCTATTTTACTACATTTATTTATCTAGTAGGTAGTCATTACAAAATGTTTCATCCCTCTAACATTTATTTTTAACTCATGTTTCCTTTGTCTTTCATCTTTCTCCTGTATTTGGCAATGTTTGATAAGATTCATTTAAAACATAAATTCAAAAGGAAAATTATGTCTTACAGAACATAGTGATTCTAATAATTTTATAATACTAAAAATTTTCATTTCAAAGTAGATATATATCCTAATTTTGCTGACAGCTGTTAGTTTGAACCCAAAATACATAGTAATTTTTTTGAGTACCCAATACATTTTAAATGTAATGAATGACAATATACCATCATCATACATTTTTAAAGATTGTGCAGACTCTTTCTGAGAATCTCTTCTGTCTTGAGAGACCCTCTCACACTGATTTTTAATTTGTCCCTTAAAAGTAAATTTCCAGATAGCTTAAGGCATGAAGTTATAACACCTATATTTAAATCTGGCAATGCTGGTAACATTGAGACCTATAGGCCTATATCTGTCATCAATTCAATTGATAAGATATTCGAGAATGTGCTTTATAACAATCTTTTGAATTACTTTGGAAATAGCTCATGTCCAGAAAAACATGGTTTTTTACCAAGGAAGTCCACTGTGTCAAATTTTTGTGTGTTTACAAATTTTGCAGCAAGGGCCATAAATAATAAAACTCAGTTGGATCTCATTTTTTCTCTAAAAGATTGATCACTCTATACTTATTGAAAAGCTAAGCAAATTTGGTTTTGATTCAGAAGCATGTATGTTTATGAGGTCATATCTTTCTGATAGGTTAAATCAAGTTAAAGTGGGGAACAGTTTATCTAAGCCATTTATCTTGACATCAGGTGTACCACAAGGTAACAACTTGGGTCCTCTTCTGTTCACTATATTTATTAATGATTTACCTCACTGTGTGAAGTTTTCGACAAGCCTGCTATTTGCAGATGATTTTAAGATTTTTTGAGAAATTTCAACTCTGCAGGACTCTGAGGTGCTGCAATGTGATCTGAACTTAGTCAATGGTTCAATGATAACAACATGTTTCTAAACACTTCTAAATGTCATATTTTTACTATCATTCGAAAAACACAATTCATGGAGAACCAATACAAAATTTCTAGCACTGTACTTGGAAGAAAGAACACTTGTAACAATCTTGGAGTAATGTTCCAGCAAAATTTAAGATTTAATGAACATTATCGGATCTTCATAAAGCATACACATCAGCATTACACAAACATCAGCATACATCCGTCTGGAAGATAGCCTAGGAATGTTTAATGTATTTCTAATTTCTGAGTAGAAATGGTCGCTTAAAGGTTTATGTAATTTAAAACTTAAGTACCTAATGAATTTATTTTGGACTTTTTCAAGCTTGGCTATATGGACTTCATAAGTGGGTGACCAAATGACTGAGCAATACTCAAGAACAGATCTGACTAGGGAATTGTAAATCAACTTTGATGGTATACAAGGCAAATATCGAACACAGTAATTGGGCAATACACAAAGAAAAACAAACACTTTAAAATTAAAAAAAAAAAAAATTAAAAGTGTTTGTAAATTTAAAAAAAAAGTGTTTGTTTGTCTTTATGTATTGTATTGTTATGTCCAAATTTACATGTATGACATTCTGCTCATGTCGGATAGGCCACAACTGACGAAATGCCCCTGAGGATGATCTATTGATCGAAAGTACTTGGGCAAGATTTAATTAATTACTGTGTTTGATATTTGCCTTGTATACCATCAAAGTTCAATTATTCGAACATTCAACCTTATATTGAATTGTAAATCAGTCTGATGGAATTAATGTTATGCAAACATCTAGAGGTTCTAATAATGAAGCCTAACATTTTAAATGCCTGGTTATTCACATAATCAAAATGAGTGCAAAAATTTAGTTTGGAATCTAATTTAACACCTAGATCTCTTACAGTTGAGATAGCCTTCAGTGGTTCTTCAGCTAATTTGTAATTATAAGAGAGGTTGTTAATTCTTCTACAGAAACTAATAAAGTGAAATTTTCTAACATTAATGCTCATTTGGTTCCAATTGCACCATGCCATAATTTTGTTAATATCAATTTGGAGTTTTTCACAATCTGAGACGTCTTCGATAATTCTATAGATTTTTAAATCATCAGCAAATAGCAAAAATTTAGAGTTAATTTGAGATTTAATGTCATTAACAAATATATTAAAAAGGAAAGGCCCTAAGTGGCTTCCTTGTGGAACACCAGCTGTTACGGAGATCTCACTAGATTGAAAGTGTTTAATTTTAACAAGTTGTATTCTGCTAGTTAGGTAGCTACATAACCAGTTATACAGATTGCCTGTAAATCCAATAGTTTTAAGCTTGTTACACAACAATTTATGATTCACAGTGTCAAATGCTTTGGAGAAATCTGTATAAATAGCATCCACCTATAGTCTCCTTTCCAAAGCATCAGATATGTATTGCATGAAAAGTAAAAGATTTGTCGAAATTGATATACCTGAAAGAAAACCATTTTGCTCTTCAATTAGTACATTGCATAAAGGTGTTTTAACAGAGTCACATATTATACTCTCTAGTATTTTAGGAATAGAAGAAAGAATGCTTATTGGTCTGTAGTTAGCTATGTTACTGCTGTCACCTGATTTATGAATAGGAACAATAAAACTAGATTTCCACAAACTTGGACAAATACCTGAATCAAGTGAATGAGAAAACAGAAAATATAAGGGATGGGTTAAAGTACATCTACATTTTTTTAATAGTATGGGTGGAATTCCATCTGGCCTAGAGCCCTTATAAATGTCTAAATTGGCTAATTTTTCAAATATGATTTCAACTATAATAATTGTCAACTATTATATTGTGTCATGTGTTATTAGCCAGCAACCTTTACCTGCATGAACTTTTAGTCCAGTTTCTCCTACCAATGTAATATTTCTAGGCAGATAGCACTGATTGTTTATTTTGCTTCCAACAAGAAATATTCTTGTAATATTAAAAAAAAATTCTTCCTGTCACAGAATTCTTGTCAGTTCTTCCTGTTAAAATAAAAGCTGTATACTTTTCTCCTTATTATATTTTGTATGTGTTCGTGCTATCTATTCCAGTTGACTTTATGAGAGGTAATATTTTCCTGCTCCTAAGATGTAAATGTGTTAACTATTGTTATATTGACTTCTGTGGAAACTATATTTCTCCTTTTTTTTGTTAAGCTTTTAATTTGTTTAGTGAGTGGTTTGAGAAGGGATTTTTTCAAAAATTTATTATGACATTAGTTAAAAAGGGTCATAGTTAGTTCATTGCAATCACTCTTTATATTAAAAGTTTAATATAATATCGATTTTTGGTTAGGTTAGTTTAGATTTCACCTAGACTGGTGTACATGGTCATACAGAAACACTAAGAAAGTAAATTTTCTATAATCTTTATTTTGATTTTTAGAAATATCAATAATTATATTTAGCACCTTTGGTTGTAGAACTGAATGCAGTAGACCAAAAAAATATGTAAGCAAGTCAAATTAATCAACCATGTGAAGTGTGAAATGAAATTAAACAGAATAGATGGAATCAAAATCAACACAGTAGAAAAGTCATGTTTAATCTCCATTGAGCAGCATTCAATTCTCATGTGGCAATAGATTACAGTAAATCGTTGCTATTGAGTAATTTTTTTTAGAGTATTGGAGAAATAAACCTTGTATCAACATTGCGATGCATTTAAGTTTAAAGGTTGTGTTGTGCCAGTGGCCGAGAAAATTTGATACCTTGTATTGGTTTTTGAAAACTAGCCAAATTCTATTTATTTTTTGACTCATGTACTACTGACTACTAGCAGACAGATAATATCTGTCTGCTAGTGGTTTATAAATGTATTTATTGAGAATAGCTTATGCTCCTAATTTCCAAATTTGTATTCTGAAAATATTCAGTTAGTATAGTTGCAAAATTACTTCAAAAATAAGTAGGTTTTTTTAACATCTTCTTTATATGCTTATCCGTGATGAATGTTGGCAATCTTTATCTTGTTTGTAGCAGCATGAAAATCTGCACAGAGGTTGTGTTGAACCAGGTTCTGAGGTTGTTTAACCAGAATGTTCTTGTTTTTCCTGGACCTACCTTTCCAAATATTTTCCTTGCAGGGTGGCTTGTAGGAGGGCATATCTGGATTCATTTCACATAATGTGTCTGAAGTATTGTAACTTTCGAGATTTAATTGTGGTCAGTAACTCTTGGTTCTTCTTCTTTTCTCCTTAAGATACATGATTCTACATCATAAAAATGGACAGAGAAG